GGGGGATGTGGAGGGGGGCGGGGGGGCTGCTGAGGCTCTGGTTGCAATGGCACAGCTACCCAGGGGCAGCAGGGCTGGAGCAGAGGTATCTCCCAGCCTGTCCCCCTCCACCCTGTCCCTGTCCCCTCTCCTGACAGCTCTCCCAGGCCACTCTCTCCTCCTGTTTACCTGCAAGGGGGGTGTCCTGCAGCATCAGGCCTGGAAGGGTGGCTCCATGTTGGGGGGAAACTGAGGCACCCCCAGACTGATGGCTTCATGAACAGCAGAGCCAGGGAGGGCACCAGGAATCAGCCCAGCCCCTGCCTGGCCCCATCTTGCTGGGATGAGGGACCAGGATGACCTGGCACAGGTACAGCAGAGTGGGATGCCACGGTTGGTGGCCTGAAGCATCCCCCTTGGTCTGTTGCCCCCATCTCCATGATCCATGAGCTCTGGGGTGCAGAAATCTCCTGGGGGTGGGGGGGTTACACTCCTCCTGCTCCCCACCTTAGGACATGTGTCCCTCCAGGTCCCAGACCCCCATGCAAGTACACATGGGTCCTGTGTCACTCAGCCCCATCACCACATGCTCTCCAGCTGTTTTGGCAATAAGCCCTGTCTGCTTCCCTGGCTGGGCTGGGGAACCAGCCCACCAGCACGGCCAGGCTGTGGGACCTGAGCTTTGGGGGACACCTATTTCAGCTGCCACCCCAATCCCTGCCTGCAGCAACTGCCGAGGTGGGACCTCATCATGGCTGTACACCTTGATATCTGTGTACCCACCAAGCAGCTGCTCCCCATCCTGGGATGATGCCAGCCCGACCTGCCAGCCTAGGTGGCCTGAGTCCGTTGGGGGAGCCTTTGGGGACAGTATAAAAAACACCTGCCCCACTCCTGACCACACACTGAGAGCTCCTCACCCTCTGGTGATAAGGGAGAACATTTGGAAAAGTGACAAGAGCAGAAGAAAAACAAGATTGTTGACTCCTGAAGCTCTGCGGGAGGGTTGGCACAACACAGGGATTCCCTTGATGTCCTGTGCTTGGGCAGGACCCGAGTGTCTACCCCAGGGATGGCACTGCCATGGCTGATGTCACCAGTGCTCCCCAGGCTGGGATTTCCCTGCCCCACTGGGAGCTCAGCTTTGCCCGGGCAGAGGAGGAGAAACTGTGAACAAACCTGCCCGTGGTCCCATTGCTTGGAGGGCTCCCACCCCTTGCCCAGTCTCCTGATTTAGTTTTATTTTGCTGGGAGGAGCTCTCTCTACAGTGTATTTTCCACACAGCGGGTGCTGGTTTGACTGGAGACTCACCCACAGGGTGACACGTGTGATCCCAGGGGCACGTGAGCCTCGGGGTCCTGAGGCTGAGACAGTCCCTGGGGTGAGACTGTGTCCCCACGGGATGTCTGCTCAAACCTCTCCCCTGACATCACTTCGGAGACAGAGCCAGGGCCAGGTTTTGGCAAATATTTGTGCTGCTCTTGGCTGGAGTTACACGCCACTGCCCTTGCCCAAATTTCAGGGTGATGCCGTGTGTGTGCCACAGCCGTGCTGACACCTCTGCTCGCTGCTGGGGAGGGATGGGGAGGTGGCAAACCACATCCACGGAAGACACTAGGACTTTTCCCCAGAGAGCAGTATCTACCTGTTTGCCTGTGCTGGGAAGGGCTGGGTTTTGGTGGGCTGTGTTACCCAGGAGCGGGGTGTACCTGCTGCCACCCCCTCGGATGGACACACTGTGAGCCTCTCCTGTCACTGCCTGGCCATCCCACGGGTGCAATGGGTCTGTCACGGTCCCACAAGGCTCTTCCTGCTACTGTTTGCAAACTGAGGGGTCCACTGGTGTCCAGACTGACTTGTGCTTTCCAACTGACAACACACATTTCTGCTCACCCAAGGAGGCTGCGGTGAAAGCTCACATCCTCACCAGCAACCCCTCCCCGAGAGGTTCATCACGTTCTTCACGTGACCCCACTGCAGGTCTTTTTGCCATATTATGGGAGTATTTCACTGAATTTCACTGAATTTCACTGAATTTTAGAGTTGGAAGGGACCATAGCGATCATCTAGTCCAACTCCCCTGCTGAAGCAGGATTGCCTAGAGCTAGAGCATGTTACTCAGGAGCATCCAGGCGGGTCTTGAAAATCTCCAGAGAAGGGGACTCCACAACCTCCCTGGGCAGCCTGTTCCAGGGTTCTGTCACCCTGGAAGTTTTTTTGGTTTTTTTGGATTTTTTTAGGGTCCTCCTTAGGGCTAAGCCAGATTCACAGCAGCTTGTGGTTTGCACCATCCTTGAGAGTTGGCCACTGATAGGTCCAGGGGCAGCCTCCAAAGCTCAGCCCAGCTGGGGAAGCACGTCCTCTGGTCTGAACCTGCTGCAGAAGCAGGAGCTCGGTGCATTCCCAGCTGGCTCTCAGCAAAGGTGATTTGTTTGAAATCATTTCCATGGCCCCTGCACTTCTTTTGGCTGCTGGCTTCAGAAGAGCAGGTAAAATCTACGCTGCCAGACAGCACCAGAGGCTGAGAGCTTCATTCAGAGGCAGCTGTTGGAGGACATTGCTCAGCTCTCACTGTGAACAGGCCTAAAATTAGATCTGGGATGTTGATGAGCACGGATAGGTGAGTCCAGCTCCAGATTAGCAGCTTTTACTAGGGCTGGCATGCTCCCACTGGAAGTGGTTGCCATTTGGGATCAGTTTTGCTCCAGCAATATTTCAAGTTTGTCAAACCCCCTTGAAGGCTTGGGCAGACGGAGGGGGCATGGGGAGCTGTAAATAAATGGGAGCTTTAAAAAACTCCCTGAAATGACCAATAAATTCCCTGGGACATGACAGGGATCATTCACAAATCCCCCCGGAAGAAAGCCAACACTGTGCTGAAAAGAAGAGGAACTTTCAAAAGCAGGAGATGCGGTGCCTGGGCAGGGAGCAGCCTTCATCCCAACCTCCTTCTCCATCGCCCAAGGACAGTGACATCCCCTTGCAGGTCCCCGTGCCACCCCCATGCCCTGCCCAGACCTGTGGGGCTGTACAAAGCAAAGCAAAAAAGGTGGAGAGTGTGAGCTTACAGCCTGATAAATAACACCACGCTGGGTCTGGCTGTAACCCACAGCAGGAGATGCTGCTCCAGGCCACCCCGTGGGGTGCAAAGTCCTTGGCATCACCCGTGTCAGGTCTGGTGAGGGCTGGGGGCTGCCCAGACCTTCCTCACACACAGAAGAGATGGAAACCCCCCCCACGGTGTGGCCTCCCACCATGTCTGCAAGGTGCCAGCAGGGATGGATCCAGCCACACAGAAGGACCCTGTGGCTGTCAACTCCTCCTCAGGGCCTGGACTGAAGGTGCTGGTGGGGGTATCTACAGCCCCTAAGTCTGACCACGGCTGTGGGTGCTCTTCAGGTCTCTGTGGAGATGATGGGGAGAACGAGTCACCACTTGCACATCTCCTTCTCCTGCACCCCATTGCAAGGGGGACAAGGATGTGGGGAGAGAGACAGGACCTACCTCCTTGCCAGGGTGCTGGGAGGGGGCGAGGGGTGGGTGGGTGTGGGGACACCCAGCTGCAGCGGGTGGGTGGCATCAGGGGGGTGTAGGGTCCATCAAGGGGAAGCACCTGCACCCTGGGGCTGTGGGGTGCTCCCCCTCGCTGGGTACCCCCTGGCAGGGGGCTCGCAGCTCCTTTTCCCCAGCGGGTGCTGGATGTGGTCCTCTCCCACCCTCACTGGCAGCTGGGGCCACCTCCTTGCCACCAAGGGCACAGCCATCAGTGGGCACGGATGCCCGTGTCCCCTGGGGAGGGGGGGTCTGGCACACACCTCCCCCCCAGCTGCCTTCCCCCAACCCCATCCCAAAGCAAATCACTGCTTCCCACAAGCATCCCAGGAACATCCCCCCACTTCATGCACTGGTCAACCCCCCGATGGCTGTCCCCTTTCTGTCCCCACAGGACCTGGTGGCCGGTGTCAACGTCTTCGCTCCGTGGTGGCCGAGCCTCCTCCTCCTCCTCCTCCTCCTGGGGTGACACTGTCCCGGTGTCTCTCCGCCACGCAGCGCTCCCCCCGGCGCCTCGCTCGCTGCAGCAGATGGTGGAGGTGACATTTGTCTGCTGGTGACGTGCTTGACAGTGGCCGTGTGTCCTGTTCCGCC